GTGAGGGGCGAACATTCAGCATCAGGGGGGAGCAAATACACATTTCCTTCACTGTACAGTATATTTGAAATTTATTTTTAAAAATATTTTTCATATATTTTGTAATAAAAATGCATTTCAATAAGCATTATATATATATTTAAGTATATTTTGAAATATATTGAATACGGCCAAAATTGTAGCATTTCAAATATATTTTTCTTCCATGTGGGTATATTTACAGTTGCAAGAAAAAGTATGTGAACCCCTTGGGATTACGTGGAGTTTTGCATGAATTGGGCATAAAATGTGCTCTGAACGTCATCTAAGTCACAACAATAGAAGACCACAGTCTGCTGAACATAATACTACACAAACATTAGATGTTGCCATGGTTTAATTGCACATAACATGTAAACATTCACAGTGCTGGGAGGAAAAAGTATGTGAACCCCTAGCTTAATGACTTCTCCCAGAGCTAATTGGAGCCAGGAGTGAGCCAACCTTGACTCCAATCAGTGTGATGATATTGGATGTGTTGCTGACACCTGTTTTGGGTTTACTGGTTTCAAGAAGCACTGCCTGATGTGAATAATGCCTCGCAGAAAAGAGCTCTCAGAAGACCTACGATCAAGAATTGTTGACTTGCATGAAGCTGGAAAGGGTTACAAAAGTATCTCCTTGAGCCTTTATGTTCATGTGTCCACGGTAAGACAGACTGTCTACAAATGGAGAAAGTTTAGCAGTGTTGCTACTCTCCCTAGGTGTGGTCATCCTGTAAAAATGACTGCAAGAGCACAGCGCAGAATGCTGCATGAGGTAAAGAAGAATCCCAGAGTGTCAGCTAAAGACCTACAGAAATCTCTGGCACATGCTAACATTTTTGTTGACACATCTACAATAAGGAAAACATTAAACAAGAATGGAGTACATGGGAGGACACCACGGAGGAAGCCATTGCTGTCCAAAAAGAAGATTGCAGCACGTTTGAAGTTTGCAAAAGAGCACCTGGATGTTCCACAGCACTACTGGCAAAATATACTGTGGACAGATGAAACCAAGATTGAGTTGTTTGGGAAGAACACACAACACTATGTGTGGAGAAAAAAAGGCCCAGCACACCAACATCAAAACCTCATCCCCACTGTGAAACATGGCGGAGGGAGCATCATGGTTTGGGGCTGCTTTGCTGCCTCAGGGCTGGACGGATTGTTGTCATTGATGGGAAAATGAATTCCAGAGTTTATCAAGACATTTTGCAGGAAAACGTACGACCATCTGTCCGCCAACTGAAGCTCCGCAGAGGATGGGTGATGCAACAGGACAATGACCCAAAGCATACAAGTCATTCAACAAAACAATGGCTGCAACAGCACAGAATACGCCTTCTGGAGTGGCCCAGTCAGAGTCCTGACCTCAACCCCATTGAAATGCTGTGGCATGACCTTAAGAGAGCGATTCACACCAGACATCCCAAAAATATTGCTACACTGAAACAGTTTTGTGAAGAGGAGTGGTCCAAAATGACTCCAGATCGTTGTGCAGGTCTGATCTGCAACTACAGGAAACGTTTGGTTGAGGTTATTGCTGCCAAAGGAGGGTCAACCAGTTATTAAGTCCAAAGGTTCACATACTTTTTTCTTGCAACTGTATATAATTATTACTGTGATGAGCACCAACATTGGCAGGTTCTTTGGTGGTGGCATTTTAGAGTAGTTGATAACCCAATGGGGTACAGCTTAGCACAACTAGGGGGACCCATCGTAAATATTGGACCTGAAGGGCAGGCACAGGGTAGGAGAGCACCAAGCTAGGTCACCAGCTTTCTCTACTTGTTTTTTCCTCAGAGCAGGAAAGATCAGATTACACGGACTGCTGGCTGACTTACCCCAGGTTCACACCTAAGCGTTTTCCACTGTACTTTGCGTTTTTCAGAATCGCACAGCAGTCCATTTAACATGATTTCCTTTGGGACAGGTTCACATCTCTGCATTTTCACCGGATGCGGCTTTTTTGGAAAGGGTCGGGGACTTTTTTGAATGCAAAAAGTTGCGTTTTTGGTTCTATAGACTTCAAAGGAGACGCTGCAGAAAATCATGTATTGTGTTTTTGCTGCATTTTGCGTATTAAATCTGCCTGCCTGTTGGATTAGATGTGGAGCCGGGACCTCTACCTTCGGTTCACATCTGTGCAGGTGGTGCCGCTGCGGGACCCGCACAACTGGGGTTACAGGGAGAGTCAGTGTTGGGGTTACAGGGAGGATTAGTGTTGGGGTTACAGGGAGGTTAGTGTTGGGGTTACAGGGAGGGTACAGGGGAGGGTTAGTGTTGGGGTTACAGGGAGGATTAGTGTTGGGGTTACAGGGAGGGTTGGTGTTGGGGTTACAGGGAGGGTTAGTGTGTTGGGGTTACAGGGAGGGCCAGTGTTGGGGTTACAGGGAGGGTTGGTGTTGGGGTTACAGGGAGGATTAGTGTTGGGGTTACAGGGAGGGGGTTAGGGGTGTTGGGGTTACAGGGAGGAGGGTTAGTGTTGGGGTTACAGGGAGGGTTCAGTGTTGGGGTTACAGGGAGGATTAGTGTTGGGGTTACAGGGAGGGTTAGTGTTGGGGTTACAGGGAGGTTAGTGTTGGGGTTACAGGGAGGGTTGGGGTTGGTGTTGGGGTTACAGGTTAGTGTTGGGGAGGGATTAGTGTTGGGGTTACAGGGAGGGTCGGTGTTGGGGTTACAGGGAGGGTTAGTGTTGGGGTTACAGGGAGGGTTAGTGTTGGGGTTACAGAGAGGGTCAGTGTTGGGGTTACAGGGAGGGTCAGTGTTGGGGTTACAGGGAGGGTTACAGTTAGTGTTGGGTTACAGGGGGAGGGTCAGTGTTGTTGGGGTTACAGGGAGGGTTAGTGTTGGGTTAGTGTTGGGGTTACAGGGAGGGTTAGTGTTGGGGTTACAGGGAGGGCTAGTGTTGGGGTTACAGTGTTGGGGTTAGTGTTGGGGTTACAGGGAGGGTTAGTGTTGGGGTTACAGGGAAGGTCAGTGTTGGGGTTACAGGGAGGGTTAGTGTTGGGGTTACAGGGAGGGTCAGTGTTGGGGTTACAGGGAGGGTCAGTGTTGGGGTTACAGGGAGGGTTAGGGTGTTGGGGTTACAGGGAGGGTTAGTGTTGGGGTTACAGGGAGGGCCAGTGTTGGGGTTACAGGGAGGGTTAAGGGTTACATGTTTTGGGGTTACAGGGAAGGTTAGTGTTGGGGTTAAAGGGAGGGTCAGTGTTGGGGTTACAGGGTTAGGGTTACAGGGAGGGTTAGTGTTGGGGTTACAGGGAGGGTCAGTGTTGGGGTTACAGGGAGGGTTAGTTTTAGGGTCACAGGAAGGGGTAATGAAGGCGGCTCAGATTGGGGGGCACTTTTCTCATCACTGAAAAGCTTCCACCTTGGATTTTGCAGGAATGTAACATATGAAGGTGTCGTTGCTTTGTAAGTAAATAGTGATCCATCTTCCTCTACATCGCCCTCCTGGGCCGGGACGAGGGGAGTGGAGTGTTGACCCAATATAAGGCCGGGAGACTACCAAACACTCGGACACACCTTAGCAGCCGGCACCGTGACGGAAAGTTCTTCTCTATCAATGTCACATGACAAGCCATCGGCATTCGCAATATTTACTGACACCATCCTATAACGTCGGACCTCTGCTATGGGGACGGCAGGCTGCAGTACACAGTATACATCCGAAGATGAATGGGTTGCTTGGGAGCGTTGTAACCGTAAGCTGAGGGCTGACTCGTTGATTGAATTCAAAATGGCCAAAAAGGTGCAATTCAAGGGAAAAAGTAGAGCCCTTTACCCCCCCCCCCCCCCCCACAATGTGTGTGACCTCTGTGGGGTGATGCTGTAGGAGAAAATGGGCAGCATAGTGACCAGGTGGTTAGCACTTCCGCCTGGCAGTACTCGGGTCGTTGGTTCGAATCCCAACCAAGGCACCACCTGCCTGCAGTTTGCATGTTCTCCTTGTGCCTGCGTGGGTTTCCTCCGTGTACTCCGGTTTCCTCCCACACTCCAAAGACATGCTGGTAGGTGAATTGGCTCCTGTCTAAATCAGCCCTAGTATGTGTATGGATGAATGTGAGTTAGGGACCTTAGATTGTACGCCCCTTGAGGGTTAGGGTGCTTAGATTGTACGCTCCTCGGGGGCGGGGACTGATGTGAATGTACAATATATATGTAAAGCGCTGCGTAAATGGACGGCTCTATAAAAGTATCTGAAATAAATAAATAATATAAGTCTCATATCTGGTGCCATGATCTATAATCCCGCAGAGCTCCTTCTTAGCAGACACTTCAGCAGACAGTTCCTAAGGACATGCGGATCTCCGGAGATAATCCTCAGCACTCGCAGATCTATGGCTGAGGAATCTTCCCAAACCGGAAACTTGAGAGTGAACCGCGGCAAATACAGCGAAAAACATTTGTTCATCCTGTTACATAATAGCTACAAATATCAGGATGTGCATTATTAAAGCTTCCTGTGACTCCCAGCACAGCAGCGAATGGGGAGCCAACCAGGGCTCTATGGCAAGGCGTGGTGCTGCCAGTCTAACACAGTAAGCGTGTTTACAGGAGGGAACGACACACAGATGAATTCATCAGCCTGCTTATCGAATGGCTCTTAGAACAAGCTTAGGGCTCTTTCACACGGGGCGGACCCGCTTGCTCAGCGGGGGAGGGGTCTCGCAGGTCTGTGTCCACTACGTTGCTGCGGAGCAGATACAGAGCTGCTCGCTCTCCTCAGTGAGCGGCTGGATGAAAATGGATCGCCTGTCCGATTTCATCCGATCCGACGGACGGAAGGAAGGGGAATTGAATCCCTATCTGTCCCTTTTTGGCGGATCGGATGCCACTCCATAGAGGAGAATGGAGGTTCCGATCGGGTCCGCCTGAAAAACGGGCAGGCGGACCCAATCGGAACGTTCGTGTGAAAAAGCCCTGAAAGTGTTACTAAATCTCGGACCCCGCATTCACTATATCTGGTGTCCCCGGACCAGGGGCGGACTGACCATTTGGAAACTTGGGCAATGCCCAAGGGCCCGGGGTCAGTAGGCGGCCCCATGAGATGCCCCTGGTACCTTTTTCATAGGCTTTTTTGAGTTTGGGCAAGGACACAGGGGCCCCATGATCCCCTATTGCCCAGGGGCCCCATAAGTTGTCAGTCTGCCCCTGCCCCGGGCCCCGCATTCACTGTATCCGCTCTCCCCGGACCCCGCATTCACTGTATCCGCTCTCTCGCCTGACCCCGCATTCACTGTATCCGCTCTCCCCGGACCTCGCATTCACTATATCCGCTCTCCCCGGACCCCGCATTCACTGTATCCGCTCTCCCCGGACCCTGCATTCACTATATCCGCTCTCTCCGGACCCCGCATTCACTATATCCGCTCTCCCCAGACCCTGCATTCACTATATCCGCTCTCCCCGGACCCCGCATTCACTGTATCCGCTCTCCCCAGACCCTGCATTCACTATATCCGCTCTCCCCGGACCCTGCATTCACTATATCCGCTCTCTCCGGACCCCGCATTTACTATATCCGCTCTCCCCGGACCCCGCATTCACTATATCCGCTCTCCCCGGACCCCGCATTCACTGTATCCGCTCTCCCCGGACCCCGCATTCACTGTATCCGCTCTCGCCTGACCCCGCATTCACTGTATCCGCTCTCGCCTGACCCCGCATTCACTGTATCCGCTCTCCCCGGACCTCGCATTCACTATATCCGCTCTCCCCGGACCCTGCATTCACTATATCCGTCCCCCCCGGACCCCGCATTCACTATATCCACTCTCCCCGGACCCTGCATTCACCATATCCGCTCTCCCCGGACCCCGCATTCACTATATCCGCTCTCCCCGGACCCCGCATTCACTATATCCACTCTCCCCGGATCCTGCATTCACTATATCCGCTCTCCCCGGACCCCGCATTCACTATACCCGCTCTCCCCGGACCCCGCATTCACTATATCCGCTCTCCCCGGACCCCGCATTCACTATATCCGCTCTCTCCCCGGACCCCGCATTCACTATATCCGCTCTCCCCGGACCCCGCATTCACTATATCCGCTCTCCCCGGACCCAGCATTCACTATATCCGCTCTCCCCGGACCCCGCATTCACTATATCCGCTCTCCCCGGACCCCGCATTCACTATATCCGCTCTCCCCGGACCCGGCATTCACTATATCCGCTCTCCCCGGACCCGGCATTCACTATATCCGCTCTCCCCGGACCCCTCATTCACTATACCTGCTCTCCCCGGACCCCGCATTCACTATATCCGCTCTCCCCGGACCCGGCATTCACTATATCCGCTTTCCCTGGACCCCGCATTCACTATATCCGCTCTCCCCGGACCCCTCATTCACTATACCCGCTCTCCCCGGACCCCGCATTCACTATATCCGCTCTCCCCGGACCCCGCATTCACTATATCCGCTTTCCCTGGACCCCGCATTCACTATATCCGCTCTCGGTATATATAACAGACCGATATGGAGCGAATTAAAGGAGTTGATTGCTGGGGTGTAGGAGGCGTTATGCAGACACGGGTATGTTGAGGGTCACTTGTATCTTCTCGGAGTGAATGCCCTCCACACTCTCTGGGCTGTTTCGGCTGTGTTCTATATATACCTGATATTGATTGTTGTGTGTATGACGTCCTGGTAACCCCCACTCTCCCCCCCACCCCCATCATTTTCCCTTTACAGGAATTTATGGCAAGAAGTAAAAGGAAGAACTCCGCTGGCGATGTTTGGCTCTGACAGGAAACCCTACAACCTCCAGAATGACCCACAATGATTATAATGCAGGTAACTAGGTGGGGGTGGGGTGGGGTGGGGATGAGCATCAATCAGATGTTTTCCATATATTAGCAGGGGACTGTTCCTTGAAGAGCTACTTTGGAATTGTGTGTTTTGTGCTGTGTGTGCTCTGACTGTGTTCTTTGTGTGCTCTCTGTGCTCTGACTGTGTTCTTTGGGTGCTCTCTGTGCTCTGACTATGTGGGTGCTCTCTGTTTGGGTGCTCTCTGTGCTCTGACTGTGTTCTTTGTGGACTGTGTTCTCTGTGCTCTGACTGTGTTCTTTGTGGGCTCTCTGTGCTCTGACTGTGTTCTTTGTGTGTTCTTTGTTTGCTCTCTGTGCTCTGACTGTGTTCTTTGTGGGCTCTCTGTGCTCTGACTGTGTTCTTTGTGTGCTCTCTGTGCTCTGACTGTGTTCTTTGGGTGCTCTCTGTGCTCTGACTGTGTTCTTTGTGGTGCTCTCTGTGCTCTGACTGTGTTCTTTGTCTGTGCTCTGACTGTGTTCTTTGGGTGCTCTCTGTGCTCTGACTGTGTTCTTTGTGTGCTCTCTGTGCTCTGACTGTGTTCTTTGTTTGCTCTGTGCTCTGAATGTTGGGTCAGTCTGTGTGCTCTGCCTGTGTGGGAACAAGTAAGATTCAAGATTCAGGTAAATTATATGAAGTATGCTATGGTGTGTCCTGGCGTTCCCTGCAATGGGTTTCAAAAGAGGGACCTTCCTTCCTAAGGAGGCACCGGTGGGAGCTATGCCAAGGATCCTCCTGGACCTTAGAGTAGACCCAAGAACTAACATCCTAATGTAAGATAACACAAGTAGATGTCTTAGGCCTTCATCACCATCCAGCTGTTGGATGAATCCGAGAACAGAGGGTGTCGGGTCACGATGGTGCAGAGGGAGGCCCAACACCTGTCCCTCTTGGTGAGACAATTGCCTGTCCAGGCTCCAGCCTTCCATAGATATTCTGTATAATATAAAAATCATTTTTGCTAAGACCTCCACATACACTATATTGCCAAAAGTATTGGCCCCGCCCTCCCAATTGTGTGATTCAGGTGTTCCAATCCCCTCCATATCATGTGATTCATGTGCTCCAATCCCCTCCATATCATGTGATTCATGTGCTCCAATCCCATCCCAATCATGTGATTCAGGTGTTCCAATCCCCTCCATATCATGTGATTCAGGTGCTCCAATCCCCCCCATGGACACAGGTGTATACAATCAAGCCCCTAGGCATGCAGACGGCTTCTACAAACATTGGTGAAAGAATGGGTCGCTCTCAGGAGCTCAGTGACTCCAAGCGTGGTCCCGTGATAGGTGGCCACCTGGGCAATAAGTCCATCCGTGACATTTCCTGGCTACTAAATATTCCACGCTCAACTGTTAGTGGGATTATAAGAAAGTGGAAGCAACTGGGAACAACAGCCACTCAGCCACCAAGTGGTAGGCCACGTCACATGACAGGACAGGGTCAGCGCATGCTGAAGCGCACAGTGCGCAGAAGTCGCCAACTGTCTGCAGAGTCAATAGCTAAAGACCTCCAAACTTGGTGTGGCCTTCAGATGAGCCCAACAACAGTGTGTAGAGAGCTTCATGGAATGGGTTTCCATGGCCGAGCAGCTGCATCCAAACCTTCCATCACCAAGTGCAATGCAAAGTGTCGGATGCCGTGGTGTAAAGCAAGCCGCCACTGGACTCTAGAGCAGAGGAGATGTGTTCTCTGGAGTGACCAATCACGCTTCTCTGTCTGGCAATCCGATGGACGTGTCTGGGTTTGGCGGTTGCCAGGAGAACGGTACTTGCCTGACTGCATTGTGCCAAGTGTAAAGTTTGGTGGAGGGGGGATTATGGTGTGGGGGTGTTCCTCACGGATTGGGCTTGGCCCCCTAGTTCCAGTGAAGGGAACTCTTAAGGCGACATTTTGGACAGTTTCATGCTCCCAACTTTGTGGGAAGAGTTTGGGGATGGCCCCTTCCTGTTCCAACATGACTGCCCACCAGTGCACAAAGCAAGGTCCATAAAGACATGGAGGAGCCAGTTTGGGGTGGAGGAACTTGACTGTCCTGCACAGAGTCCTGACCTCAACCCCATAGAACACCTTTGGGATGAATTAGAGCGGAGACTGTGAGCCAGGCCTCCTCCCCCGACATCAGTGCCTGACCTGACAAATGTGCTTCTGGAAGAATGGTCCAACCTTCCCAGAGACACCCTCCTAAACCTTGTGGGCGGCCTTCCCAGAAGAGTTGAAGCTGTTATAGCTGCAAAGGGCCAACTCAATATTGAACCCTACGGACTAAGACTGGGAGGGGCCATTAAAGGTCATGTGTGTGGAAAGGGCGGGGCCAACTCAATATTGAACCCTACGGACTAAGACTGGGGGGCCATTAAAGGTCATGTGCGTGGAAAGAGCGGGGCCAACTCAATATTGAACCCTACGGACTAAGACTGGGGGGCCATTAAAGGTCATGTGCGTGGAAAGGGCGGGGCCAACTCAATATTGAACCCTACGGACTAAGACTGGGGGCCATTAAAGGTCATGTGTGTGGAAAGGGCGGGGCCAACTCAATATTGAACCCTACGGACTAAGACTGGGGGGCCAATAAGGTTCATCTGCGTGGAAAGGCCAGCCGACCAATACTTTGGGCAATATGGTGTATTTCACATGCTTGCTGTTTCATATTGATTATATTTCATATACAGATTTGTAAATGCAGTTTACAGCCTTCGCACCACATATGTTGTCATACATGTCTTCGGGCAGAGGAGGGCGCTGTTTATCCACAAGGCACTTTCAAATAGTAATGTATCAGAGGAGCACCTCCCTAGGAGGAGTTACGGTATAGCTTGTTCACACTGCGATCCTGAGACCTTCATACAGATATCTGGCTGCCAGTGGAAGACTCTTTCAAGAAGCTGACAGAGGAGACACCCTGTAATTGTAAACCTATTCTTGCCCTCCTCGTCGGATACCCCTCCCTAACACTTTTAGGCCCAGTAAGGGGCTCTCTCCTTATCTTACTCCCACACTGTGGGCTCACCAAATGACCCAGTCAGGGGCGGACTGACCATTAAAGTACTGGGGCACTGCCGGGGTCAGTAGGGGGCCCCATGAAATGCACCTGGTACATTTTATAGACTTTTTTGGGTATGCTTTGAGTGTGGGCAAGGACACAGGGGCCCAATGATCCCCTATTGCCCGGGGGCCCCATGAGTTGTCAGTCCGCCCCTGGACCCAGTATCCTACTATTCAATAGAATCCTTAGTCAATATCGCTGCCCAAATCTAAATGGACTTCGGTATCCAATAGGATTGCTGTTCTCCCCAAGATGGCTGCCTGGCAGGGCTGGGACAAGGGGTGGCTGCCCTGAGGTGCAATGGTTTACTATAGAGATGGAGGCACCTTCCATTTGTTACAAGGCTGAAAGGGGTAGTTATTACCCCAAAGAAAAACAAAATGGCATCCCAGAGGTGCTGGGAGCTTGATATGAGTTTAAACAAGGTAGTAGGAGGGCAAAAAAAAAAACACTTGAAGAGCTCAGTGGCTCAAGCTAGGCTGCTCACAATAGGCAAGGCCACCCTACCTACCTACTATTCCAGCAGGTTACCAGGAAAAATGTGCACATATGGAACCCAAAGAGTCCAAATTCATTTACTGATGTTATGTTAGAAGACAGAAAACACGTTTCGGGGGTCAAAGGAACTCCTCCTTCATCCGGGCTACAATAGACTTTGTGTTTTATTGTAGCCCCCGATGAAGGGGGTTCCTTTGACCCCCAAAACGCGTTGGATGTCTTAACATAACATCAGGAAATGAATTTGGACTCTTGTCTTTTGGTCTGGCGCTCCCTCCATAGTAGTTAATGCGGCAGTGATTTTGACGAGTGACTACTGGGCGTAAGCTTGCACATCAGGAATGGGGGAGGGGGCACAGTTTGGCATCTTTGCCCTGGGTGCTGGATGACCTTGTCCCGGAGCTGCTGCCTGGAGTCCATAGCAGGGGACAATTAGTCTCAATGGGCTTCTGCCAGCCTGACGAAATGGCACAGTGCCATCTTCAGATTGGAGGATATAATGCAGCCTCCAGCTGCCTACAAGGTTTCTGGAACCACTTAGGTGAACTGGGCAGGTAAGAAGATGCCTTCAATGGGATTCAAGTATGGCTGAACTATAGGACTTTGTTTCTAAGCTAACATTCAGTTTATTTCCTACTGTAGCCAAGTTTCGAGCCCCCATTGCTGTGTACTGCGGCAGCGTTCCCAAGATGAAACCTGGATTCGCGTCTCTGCACAATGGTGATTCCAACCTGCAGCTGTACGGAAACCGCTGGGCTGGAGCTGACCCAGGTCTGTACAATGATCGGGAGATAAGTCGATCTGGAGTTTTACTGATACATTGTTTTATAGTCTTTAGTTTTCACCAAGCAGGACAAGACAGAATAATGACTGCTTTCTTCATGGTCTCCAGCTGCTCTTCAGTCCTCCTTGAGCCTCCAGATGAAGAGGTCCTACTTGTGGGGTGGAGATGACCGTGACCTTCAGCCAGAAATTCTGCCCCCACCGCTGGACTTGGAGGGTAAAAGTGACCCCTTCTATAAGAGCCAGAGGAATGAGGAGGTTGATAGCGCGGCCCTGGAGACGGCCCGGCTGAAGGACAAGCTGAAACGGAAGATGTCTGAAAGCTCCAGTGCCAGAGGAGGTGAGAGCGACCGATACCCTGAAATAATGAACATTTAAGGGGCGCACAGCTGAATCCTAAAAGTAAAACTGTACTGAGAGGTGAGAATGCTAGGTGCCTGGCTGTCTGAAGGAACTATACTTCCCGAGGCGCCATCCTGGAACAAGCATGCATATTGGAAGGTCAAAGTGAAGTTAAAACTTCTGGACATCATATTTCCTCAGGGTTCAGCAATGGGCCAGATTGGCAGCCAGCATTTTCCAAGGAGGGGTCAGCACCGGCCTTCTCCTTCTCCTTCCAGTACAGGTTTCCTCATCCACTTGTCTACTAGAGCCGTTTATAAATGGCGGCTAGTAGTGAGGTATTTTAAATACAGCTGGGACTCTGCTTACCAGGGGCGGACTGACAACTCATGGGGCCCCCGGGCAATAGGGGATCATGGGGCCCCTGTTTCCTTGCCCAAACTCAAAAAAGCCTATGAAAAAGGTACCAGGTGCATCTCATGGGGCCCCATACTGACCCCAGGCCCTCGGGCAGTGCCCGAGTTTCCAAATGGTCAGTCCACCCCTGCTGCTTACTCCTGTCCAGGGGCAGACTGACCATTCAGGAACTCGGGCACTGCCCAAGGGCCCAGGGTCTGTAGGGGGCCCCATGAGATGCCCCTGCTACCTCTCATAGGCTTTTTTGGGTGTGGTTTGAGTGTGGACGAGGACACAGGGGCCCCATGATCCCCTATTGCCCGGGGGGCCCCATGAGTTGTCAGTCCGCCCCTGCTCCTGTCCTACTGATTGTTGGCTTTCTGGTGGAAGCAGCCTTGGTCACATCCACTATACACCTCCCCCTAAGTACCACTCACCAACCTGACTATCCCCCACCATAAAGCCTAGGCTCCTCTGCTGCTCCTGTGGGTCTGAAGGGGACGTGGTGGGTTTTGGCAGGTTGAACTGAGGGATCTCTCCTCTGGTGAGTGAACCTGTAAGTAACAGGTTCAGACCTGCCATTCCACTGCAGTTCTGGCTGGGGAAGAAGCTGATCAAGTATGATCTATACTTGATCAGCTTCAGTGGGGTCCATAGGTGACCGATGACGTCTCCTTGAAGAAGACCTCTCATTTCCACTGTGCTATCATATAGTGGGCTAACAACCCCCTAGGAGATGGCATTAAACTTAAGATAAAAAAAAAATTAAAGTGGCATATAATAAATAAAAAACACAAAAAGTTTAAAGTCCCCTACCCCGTGTACAGGGACCTAAGAACGTAAACGCACGCACCAGGTACACCTATGTACAAACATGTATTAGGTATCAGCACATATGTGAGGGCAATAATCCTTGGACCATAATTCCTCTGTAGCACCCTCCTAGGTAGCTAGGGGGAGCTAGCTAGTTATTTTTCTTAGAAGGCTGAGTAGCAGCCGGGGTGATAGTCAGAGGGTCAAATTTGGATCAGAGCTGAGAGGCTCTGCAGATCAGCTCACTGATACCTCCCCCTAATCTAGAGACTTGGAGAAGTCTTTAGAACTCAGTGGGCGGAGGTAAGGAGGAGGTGGTCTGTACTCTCAAGGGATGCTGGCCAATCCCCTGGCAGGAGGCTTAGCATGGGTTCAGGGCATCCCTTAAGAGTGACTGAGCCTGCTCAGCAGCAGGAGAAGGTTGGAGTGTGGAGCCTGAGAGAGGGCCCAATAGAGGAACCTACCAGCAGGAAGGAGCTGGAGGGGAGGATCTCTCGGCCTCAGCCGTCCCCTGAGAGAGGACAACCTGGGAAGCAGGGAAGAAGCCAGCCCAGGGTAAGGCCTGAAGGCAGCCACCAACCCGTTAACATGTAGGAGAGACTGTGTGAGTAACCCCCCCCCCCGGGGCCAGAGAGGAGAAGAGGGCATTCTGGTGGGAAACCTGACTAGCCCCCATCTGGGTTTGCTGATTCAAAAAAGTGGCAGATTCTGGATCCCGTTGCCCAAGGATTCTCTCAGGTAGCTGGAGGAAGCGGAGATTTCATTTGGGGTCTGAGGCGGTACACCAGAGGGGCTGGGGAACTCTTCTAACAAAAAGTTCACAGTTCCTTGGGCATCCCGTACACCCCTCAACCCCATCCAAGTTCAATACCCCCCCAAAAAAAACAAGCTCAAGGACTGATTACTGTCTCCTGTGTGCAAGATCTGAAGAAAATGAGTGTTGCCTGGCTGCGCAGAATTATAGGGAGACCCAAAACTTCAGTGACTCCTAAGGGGGTAGTGCTACACATCGTTAAAGGCTTTCAAAGTGTCACCCACCATGCACCAACCATACACCCACCCAGGGGCGGACTGACAAATCACGGGGCCCCCGGGCAATAGGGGATCATGGGGCCCCTGTGTCCTTGCCGACATTCAAACCACACCCAAAAAAGCTTATGAAAAGGTACCAGGGGCATCTCATGGGGGCCCCCTACTGACCCCAGGCCCTTGGGCAGTGCCCGAGTTCCCAAATGGTCAGTCCACCCCTGCACCCACCATGCACCCACCATGTTTATTATAAGATAAAAGTATCATTTCAATCAATTGTATTTGACGTTTTTGCCGTTTCACTGATGCACACAATTTTAAAGCTTGACATGTTTGGTATCTGTATGCTCTACGCAACCTGATTTTTTACATTTTACCAAATAATTGGGTAACATATTGATACGTGTGCTTTAATATTATGTGACATTAAAAAATTACAACTGCCGCCATTTTATTCTGCAGGGTCTCCGCTTTCAGAAAATAGATCATGTTTAGGGGGTTTGAACTAATTTTCAGGTCTAAAATGTGCATTTTAACACGTGTGCGGGAAAACAAAGGCTCTGGTATAAAAGTGGTTAAAGTAGCAATTATGTGCCTTTTAATTCCTTTTTAGATATTTTATGCAGTATGTACGGTGACACAAAGACGTGTAAATTGTTTCTGGTTGTCCCCATGACAGCACCGACTGAGTCCATGAACACGCCTCTGAAACCCGCCGTTCCAAGGAGCGCCTCACAGAGGTTGATGACGGTCACAAAGCCTGTACCTCCCATCCAGAAGAGTCCGACACCTCGCCTGGGGACCTCAGAGGAGGACGGCCTGTGGAAGAATGGACTGGAGAATGAAGACCACATGGAAGGACAGAGGGAGAAGACCTCAGCTATCACAGAGGTGGGATGGCAAACCCATGGTGGACAATTCAAAGCCCACCATGCAGCCACCATACACCAACCATGCACCCACCATACATGCACCCACCATACATGCACCCACCATATACAAACCTTGCACCAACCATACATGCACCAACCATGCACCCACCATACATGCACCCACCATGCACCAACCATGCACCCACCATACTCCAACCATGCACCCACCCACCATACACCCACCATACACCGACCATGCACCAACCATGCACCAACCATGCATCCACCCACCACGCACACCATACACCCACCATGAACCCACCATGCATCCACCATAGACCAACCACGCACACACCATACACACCATGCACCCACCATGCACCCACCATGTTTATTATAATATAAAAGCAGCATTTCAATCAATTGTATTTGAACAGATCAGGGAAGGTTGAGGCGTTCCATTACGTCTTTTGATGTGTGTCCCACTGGGAACGATAAAAAAAAAAAAAAAAAAAAAAGTTTGGTACATCCTATTCTTCCCAATCTACACCTAGATCATCTCAATGTCTTCTTTACCCTTCAGAGCTCCCTGCAGTACGTACGCTCCAGCGCAGAGAGGAAACGGAAATCTCTTGGCGGGGTGGTCATACCGCCCATCTCCAAATCTTCCAACTTTCGAGCAGATCAGGTTCGCAACAATAGTGCCCAGCATGCTGGAAATTCACCCAGGAGTGAGGCCGCACGCAAAAGGTGACTTATCTCTTACGAAATTGAGAATTTTCATTTTGCTGACTGAAAAAATGTCTAATGCAGGCCATGCACGGGGCGAATTGTGAACGAATTTTCTTTAGAAAATCGGAAATTTTGTGCATTTTAAAATCCGATGGTGCGAGGTGTACCACCTCATCCCTTCAAAACCCAAATACATATTAATGACGCAGGATCTGGGGCAGGGGCGGTCTGACCATTTGAGCACTCAGGCACTGCCCGAGGGCCCGATGTCAGTAGGGGGCCCCATGAGATGCCCATGATACCTTTTTACAGGCTTTTTTGGGCGTGCTGTGAGTGTGGGTAATGACACAGGGGACCCATGATCCCCTATTGCTCGGGGGCCCCATGACTTGTCAGTCCGCCACTGTTCTGGGGCTGATTAAGGTGGTAATTGAGCTCACTTAGCAGGGGCGTCCCTAGGGTTGGTGTCACCCGGTGCGGAAAGACTTGGTGTCACCCCCTCCGATGATCCCCGCAGGATGGATTGGATCTGCAGATTGCGGAGCATAATGGATGGGACTCTCATCCATTATGCTCGATCCGCAGATCCAATCCATCCTGCGGGGATCGTCGGCTTGCTTTAAAAACTTACCTTTTTGTAGAGCGGGTCCGGTGTCACCCCATGCGGTAGGTGTCACCCAGTGCGGTGCGCACCCCCCCTGCACCTGCCTAGGGACGCCACTGTCACTTAGTGCCTTATCTGAATTAAATCAGCCCCAGACCCGGCGTCATTAATGTGTGTTCAGTGTTGCCTGGCCGTGCAGGAAAATAGGAGGACCCGAAACCGGCGGCTCCTAAGGGGGTAGCGCTGCAAGCAAGAAACACAACCTTCCAGGTGACAAGACTGAGGGGGAGAATCCCGACAATGTACTGAGGGGGTTGCTGGTCAGTTTCAAGAGGCGGCTTAACCAGAAGCAGCTTACTAAAACATGCCGAGCCTAAGGTGGTCTCTGAATGTTCATTAAAGGCTTTTATTTCTCTCATTTGCAGTTTTTCATTGGAGCTGGAAACCGACCGGATATCTGGTGAGTGTGAAAAAAAAAAGATACATGGTGCCAATATAAAAAAAGAGCGGAGTCCTCCAGCAGAGCAGAGTATTTCAGGAGAGGAGTTATAGAGGAAGGAGAGGAGTCCTCCAGCAGTGCAGAGTATTTCAGGAGAGGAGTTATAGAGGAAGGAGCGGAGTCCTCCAGCAGTGCAGAGTATTTCAGGAGAGGAGAGTTATAGAGGAAGGAGCGGAGTCCTCCAGCAGTGCAGAGTATTTCAGGAGAGGAGTTATAGAGGAAGGAGCGGAGTCCTCCAGCAGTGCAGAGTATTTCAGGAGAGGAGTTATAGAGGAAGGAGCGGAGTCCTCCAGCAGAGCAGAGTATTTCAGGAGAGGAGAGTTATAGAGGAAGGAGCGGAGTCGTCCAGCAGTGCAGAGTATTTCAGGAGAGGAGTTATAGAGGAAGGAGCGGAGTCCTCCAGCAGTGCAGAGTATTTCAGGAGAGGAGTTATAGAGGAAGGAGCGGAGTCCTCCAGCAGAGCAGAGTATTTCAGGAGAGGAGAGTTACAGAGGAAGGAGCGGAGTCCTCCAGCAGAGCAGAGTATTTCAGGAGAGGAGAGATATAGAGGAAGGAGCGGAGTCCTCCAGCAGCGCAGAGTATTTCAGGAGAGGAGTTATAGAGGAAGGAGCGGAGTCCTCCAGCAGAGCAGAGTATTTCAGGAGAGGAGAGTTACAGAGGAAGGAGCGGAGTCCTCCAGCAGAGCAGAGTATTTCAGGAGAGGAGAGTTATAGAGGAAGGAGCGGAGTCGTCCAGCAGTGCAGAGTATTTCAGGAGAGGAGAGTTATAGAGGAAGGAGCGGAGTCCCTCCTGCAGAGCAGTATTTCAGGAGAGGAGAGTTATAGAGGAAGGAGCGGAGTCCTCCAGCAGTGCAGAGTATTTCAGGAGAGGAGTTATAGAGGAAGGAGCGGAGTCCTCCAGCAGTGCAGAGTATTTCAGGAGAGGAGAGTTATAGAGGAAGGAGCGGAGTCCTCCAGCAGTGCAGAGTATTTCAGGAGAGGAGAGTTATAGAGAAGGAGCGGAGTCCCCCCGACAGTGCAGAGTATTTCAGGAGAGGAGAGTTATAGAGGAAGGAGCGGAGTCCCCCCGACAGTGCAGAGTATTTCAAGAGAGGAGAGTTATAGAGGAAGGAGCGGAGTCCCCCCATCAGTGCAGAGTATTTCAGGAGAGGAGAGTTGGGTTTGGCCATTTTCAGGTTACTGATGAAGGGGGGGATCTCTGAACCCCCAAAATGACCGTTGGTGTTGCACATTTACTGCTTCTTACAGAAATTTGAACTCTTCCCCTCTCTAAGTATAACAGCCAGGCAACCGGCATTTTAGGGCGTGGCGCAGCGGCAGCCCCTATGACAGATGTAAAAGGCACCAACACGCTATAAACATACAATGACACCAAAATCACAATCAATCAATGACAACACCAGATACAACGTTCTCCATTTATGAAGATCCCTGGAGCTCCGGTGACACCGACACCTGATATCTCCATGTGTGGACTCAGCCTGCCAGCTCTTCATTGACTCCATGTACACGGCTGAGATGTGCCTGGCAGGACCCCGGAGAGCTGCGCCATGAATAGCCGGGTAATTGCGTGCTCATTGTGCGGGGTAATTAGCCGTGTGCTTGTCAGACCTGCCCATGGGAAGAATTATTTCACCAACACAATACCGCAGACACAGTAGCCATGTTTACTGCTACACAGTGCAAACCGCGAGCACAATGATGGGATAATGACAGGCGGAGACCTTTCCAAGCCGGTGACACGGAGCACAATGACTGTGATGGAGTCACTAAATGCCAATCATTTGTTGTTTATAAAATGTTGTAACCCGATGCGAGAGAACTACAAATGCCAGCAAGCCATGCCACGGGCCAAGTCACAAGGAGGCCCTATGTGTCCTTTGGTGGTCTGCAAGCCGAACCCTGACAAGGCCTCCTGGGTCTTGTAGTTCTTGAACAGACACATCATAGAAGCATGAATCTCAAATATTTGTCACCAGTTTGGAGTTATATGCCAAAGAAAAAGCCAAAGACGAATCAGGACAAAGTGTTGGAGACGTTTCCTCTGTTCATCCAAGAGGTTTCCTCTGTTCATCCAAGAGGTTTCCTCTGTTCATCCAAGTGGTTTCCTCTGTTCATCCAAGTGGTTTCCTCTGTTCATCCAAGTGGTTTCCTCTGTTCATCCAAGTGGTTTCCTCTGTTCATCCAAGTGGTTCCTCTGTTCATCCAAGTGGTTTCCTCTGTTCACCCAAGTGGTTTCCTCTGTTCATCCAAGTGGTTTCCTCTGTTCATCCAAGTGGTTTTCTCTGTTCATCCAAGTGGTTTCCTCTGTTCATCCAAGTGGTTTCCTCTGTTTTGATGATTGTCAGAAACATACCCCCAAAATTTAGAACCACATAGTAACCTGTTGCGACAGAACTACAAATGCCAGCAAGCCATGCCACGGGCCAAGTCAAAAGGAGGTCCTATGTGTCCTTTGATGGTCTGCAAGCCCCACCCTGACAAGGCCTCCTGGGTTTCATAGTTCCTAAAGAGACATCATAGAAGCATGAATCTCAAATATTTGTCACCAATTTGGAGTTATATGCCAAAGAAAAAAGCCAAAGACGAATCAGGACAAAGTGTTGGAAGTTGTTGGAGATGTTTCACTGTTCATCCAAGTGGTTTCCTCTGTTCATCCAAGTGGTTTCCTCTGTTCATCCAAGTGGTTTCCTCTGTTCTGATGATTGTCAGAAACACCCCCAAAATTTAGAACCACATAGTAACCCGATGCGACAGAACTACAAATGCCAGCAAGCCATGCCACGAGCCAAGTCACAAGGAGGCCTTATGTGTCCTTTGATGGTCTGCAAGCCCAACCCTGACAAGGCCTCCTGGGTATCGTAGTTTCTGAACAGACACATCATAAAAGCATGATTCTCAAATATTTGTCACCAGTTTGGAGTTATATGCCAAAGAAAAAGCCAAAGACGAATCAGGACAAAATGTTGGAAGTTGTTAAAAGACCTTTCTCTGATCACGTTTCCTCTGATCATCCCAAGTGGTTTCCTCTGATCATCCAAGTGGTTTCCTCTGATCATCCAAGTGGTTTCCTCTGTTCTGATGATTGTCAGAAACATACCCCCAAAATTTAGAACCACATGGGTGACTGCCACCTAAAAACCAATTAAATGTGTCAAGGCCTATTGGTTATCCCAGAACACAACGGAAGACCCGGGGCACTCAGTAGAAGACTTAGATCATCCAGTAGGAGACCAAGAGCATTCAGTAGAAAATCCAGGGTGCTCATTAGAAGATTTAGGGTGCTCAGTAGAAGATTTAGGGCATCAAGTAGGAGACATCAGAACACAATGGAAGACGTGAAAGTTTGTGTCCAATTTTGGGTTGTCCCAGATTTTGTTGCTACTCAGCCCACCTATAAGTTCACACAAAAGCATCGGAACTTTAGACAGAGGTTAAAGGTGGGTGAGGTACCCACGTCGCTAGAAATATTGGGGTACATTTCTCAGCTCCTAATAGGGCCGGGGCACCTCTGGGCCCATTGATTAAAAGTATTGAGGCTGATAGGATTCCATGATGACCACTTTGGATCAAATTGAAGACTAATATCATGTTCTTTAACTAAACAAAAATGAATTGGTCAAAAAACTTTAATGTCATAATATAACAAAATAAGTAATAGATGGTTTGAAAACTAGATAAATTAATCAATGTTCGGAAACTGACGCATAAAACATATCATCTCCATATCTCTAGGGAGACCTGGGGCACCTAGAAGATCCAGGAAGCTCAGTAGAAGATCTAGGGGAACTCAGTAGAACATCTGGGGTAGTTGAAGTCCCTGAGCACCCAGAAGACACGAGGCACTCAGTAGGAGACCTAGGGGAACTCAGTAGAAGATCTGGGGCAGTCAGACTCCCTGGGCACCCAGTAGAAAATCCAGGGCACTCAGTAAAAAAGACTTAGGGGAACACGGTAGAAGATCTGGGGTAGTCAAAGTCCCTGGGCACCCAAAAGAAGACCAGGGCACTCAGTAAAAGACTTAGGAGAACTCAGTAGAAGATCTGGGGCAGTAGAAGTCCCTGGGCACCCAGAAGAAGAACCGAGAAACTCAGCAGAAAACCCAGGGCACTCAGTAAAAGACCTAGGGAAACTCAGTAGAAGATCTGGGGTAGTCAAAGTCCCTGGGCACCCAGATGAAGACCCAGGGCATTCAGTAAAAGTGTCAGGGTCTGGGTCTGGTTCAGAGACCAGTTGCTACAGCAGTGGAAGGCTTACCTGAAACCAGCAGGATAGGTACACCAGCGGGTCCCCCTGGGAATAACGCAGGCTCACCTGAGGTGCGGAGTCTAAGTATTGACCGGTCTTCCCCAGAGCTCCTAATGGTGGAGATGGATTTGGCTGCGTGTTAATACCAGGTCGCAGATCTCAGGATCACCCCACCAGGGAATGAGCAAGCTGGAAACCAATAGCAGATCAAACAGTTTAGGGATCAAACAGAAGCAGAGTCAGTCACAAGGCAAGGATCGGTCACAAATGGTAGTATAGATTAGGATGAGGCAGAATCGTAGTCAGTAGCAAGCCAAAGGTTGGTAACAAAGATGTAGACAGCAGCAGGACCGATAAGCAGGATATTGGCTGGGAAGGCACAATAATCTGGCAAGGAGGAAGTGCATGGACATGGCTTTTATAGGAAGTTTCATGGGAGGAGCAAGGAGTTCAAGGTTCAAGACAAACAGGGCCAAGGCAGGATCATCCAAAGAATTTGTCAAAGGAGCTGTCCAGCATTCCAGGTGACTCAGTGAGAAGAAACATTGCCTCTCACTGCAGAAGACTCAGGTTCAATCCCAGGCTCTGACAAAAAGACTTAGGGGAACTCAGTAGAAGATCTGGGGCAGTAGAAGATCTGAGGGACTCAGCAGAAGACCCAGGGCACTCAGTAAAAGACCTAGGGGAACTTAGTAGAAGATCTGGGGTAGTCAAAGTCCCTGGGCACCCAGTAGAAAACCCAGAGCACTCAGTAAGAGACCTAGGGGAACTCAGTAGAAGATCTGGGGTAGACAAAGTCCCTGGGCACCCAGATGAAGACCTAGGGCACTCTGTAAAAGATTTAGGAGAACTCAGTAGAAGATCTGGGGCAGTAGAAGACCCTGGGCACCCAGAAGAAGACTCAGGGCATCAGTAGAAGACCTAGGGGAACTCAGTAGAAAATCTGGGCTAGTAGAAGTCCCTAGGCACCCAGAAGAAAGTCCAGAGGGACACAGCAGAAGACTTGGGGCACTCAGTAGAAGACTTAGGTCATCCAGTAGGAGTCTCAGGGCACTCAGTAGAAGAACTTAGGAGAACTCAGTAGAAGATCTGGGGCAGCAGAAGTCCCTGGGTACCCAGAAGAAGACTCAGGGCACTCAGAGACACCAAGATAGGGCAAGATCCAACATGGAGACAACAGAGAGAGGGGGCCAGTCAGGCAAAGGACAAGCACTCAAGCCACACCTTCCTCCACCCTTCTCTGATATCTCTGTACTAGACATGTGCAGAACAAAAAACTTTGTTTCATTTCAGGTCGATTAGTTAACAAAATTTGTTTTGGTCAGTTTCATTTATTTGTTTTCAACCGGATTCAAATTTTTCCAACAGATTCAAAATCAGATACGAATCGAAAAATGTTAAATTGATGCAAATTCATTGTGAAGGACAGCTGGTTCTATTTTATTCGAAATTCGAATTTTCTATTCTATTCTGTTTTTTTCTAGTCTGTTCTATTCTTTAATTTTATTTTCTATTATATTCCTTTATTTTCTATTCTATTTTATTCCATTCTTTTCCTTTGGTTTCTATTCTATTTTTCCTAGTCTATTTTTAATTCCATTCTGTTCTATTATTTCCTATTCTCTTCTATTCTATTCTTTTCCTTTATTTTCTATTTTTACTCTTTTTTGAAATTTGAATTTCAGAAGATGACTATTCCTTCTATTTTATTTTATTCCATTCTATTGCTTTATTCTCTATTATATTTTTTGTTCTATTTTTTTTCTATTCTCTTCTATTTCTTTATTTTCTATTCTATTTAATTCACATTTTTCGTCTATTTTATTCTATTCTGTTCTACTTTATTCTATTTTAATCTACTCTATACTTTCCAAAATTTGAATTTCGGAAGATGGCTATCTTCTAATACTAACACACACACAGTGTTTGAAGGAAATCAGTAATCGGCGATATGTCGATTTTTCGAATTTGTTTTCCAAATTCATTTTCAAATTCGATTCGAAGTTCGGATGAAATTTCATTTCATTGTTTCAGATTCGTAAAAATTTGTTACTATTGTCATTCGAAAATTGAGCTCCTGTACCTCCGAAGCTCTGAAGAACATAGAATTTTGTCCGAATTTCGATTCGAAATGAAGCGCACACGGCGGCTCTGCGCATGTTTCTAGACACCGCGCTGACGGCATGTGCTGAAGAGATGTGAAGACTGGGGCTCCCGGCCTCGATGACGTCGCTGTAGTTTTGATTTTAGGTTCACTTCTGTCTGCTCACCGCGGTTGTCTTCTGCTTCCTGCGCAGATGCTGATCCTGCTGTGGAAAGCGATTCGGATCCGATCTCATCCAAACCGACTCGAACCGACGGCGAACGATTTGCCGCAGCTTGTCAAGGAGGAGGAGGGGAAGGAGAACCATTCGCGGGTGAGTCAGTCGCATGAAAGCTGGAGGAGAGGTGCAGATCGTTCTCCTCTGACATGTTTCACCCCCCTCCCTCCGGTATGATCAGCCTGTCGGGTGTCTCTGCCCAGCTGACTCTTCTCGGTTCGGTTCTGACCCGAATGGCGTGTCATCGCCGGGGAACTGCCTCTGTGCCTGGCTGCCAGCTGACGGTAAATGGCGATCGGCATTTATTCTTCACAGACCGAATACCCGTCCACCATCCTGATTCTCCCTAGCAACAATAGACCCCCAAGCAGTAATAGTTTCCCCTTCTGAGTAGCCTCTCGGGGGGGGCCGTCCCTCTGCATGACACTTGGCAGTTGCGGGGGGTTACATTAGTGGTCGATCAGAGAAGAGACGATCGCTGTGCTGCAACGTAGGAATACAAACCCCCATCTCTGTCATTGCAGGTCAGCGTCTCCATATCCAAGTCTGCGCAAGATAAGATGCGGCAGAAACAGCAAGAAATCGAGAATCTCCGAAACCAAAAGAGGCGGAGCCAGCAGCAGATGTGGGAGGGGCTTCAAGGAGTGGGATGTGGGGGGAGGTCAGTGCCAAGCCAGGACCACGTTCCTTACTGACACCAGTGGCAGCCCTGCCGTCCCTCTGACAACTGATCTGTGTTTGAGTGCTCTTCAGAGGGTGGTGGACAGGCAGCTGGGAGGCAAAATCTACCGAAATCTACCCCTCCCCTGCACCTGTTACCCTGACAACCTGCAACCGCGTGCAACACCGCCCAATATACTACATACATAAACCAGGGGCGGACTGACAACTCATGGGCCCCCGGGTACCAGGGGCATCTCATGTGGCCCCCCACTGACCCCGGGCCCTCAGGCAGTGCCCGAGTTTCCAAATGTTTCAGTCCGCCCTGACATAAATAGTGTATTATTCAACTACTACTATTACCCTACTCAGGGGCGGACTGACCATTTGGAAGCTCGGGCACTACCCGAGGGCCCGGGGTCAGTAGGGGGCCCCATGAGATGCCCCTGATACCTTTTTCATAGGCTTTTTTGAGTTTGGGCAAGGACACAGGGGCCCCATTACCCCTATTGCCCGGGGCCCCATGAGTTGTTAGTCCGCCCCTGCATTACTTCTATTACCTCTACTACTATATCTACTACCGTCCTGACATTTGGGGGGGATTAGTACTGTCCTGACATTTGGGGGGATTAGTACTGTCCTGACATTTGGGGGGATTTGTACTGTCCTGACATTTGGGGGGGATTAGTACTGTCCTGACATTTGGGGGGGATTAGTACTGTCCTGACATTTGGGGGGGATTTGTACTGTCCTGACATTTGGGGGGGATTTGTACTGTCCTCACATTTGGGGGATGTCTGTACTGACCTGACATTGGGCGGGCTGGGGGGGGGGGGGGTTGGACTGTCCTGACATTTGGGAGGGGATTAGTACTGTCCTGACATTTGGGGAGGGGGGATTTGTACTGTCCTGACATTGGGGGGGGGGGGGATTTGTACTGTCCTGACATTTGGGGGGGGTGGGGATTTGTACCGTCCGGACATTTGGGGGGATTTCTACTGTCCTGACATTTGGGGGGGGATTTGTACCATCCTGACATTTGGGGGGATTTGTACTGTCCAGACATTTGGGGGGGATTAGTACTGTCCTGACATTTTTTTTGGGGGGGGATTAGTACTGTCCTGACATTTGGGGGGATTTGTACAGCCCTGACATTTGGGGGGGGGGATTTGTACTGTCCAGACATGTGGGGGGATTTGTACAGTCCTGACATTTGGGGGGGGGGGGCAATTTGTACTGTCCTGACATTTGGGGGGATTTGTACAGTCCTGACATTTGGGGGGATTTGTACTGTCCTGAGGGGATTTGGGGGGGGGGGGGGATTTGTACTGTCCTGACATTTGGGGGGGGGGGGGGATTTGTACTGTCCTGACATTTTAGGGCCTCAAGAAATGAGATTGACCGTCAGTACTGATGTCAGTGCGGATTGGTTGATTTTCAGATATATATCTCATAGGTTGTAAATTTATGAAGAAATATTATTTATTTGCAGAAACAGAAATGAAGAAAAATACGTATGTTTGTTCTTTTTTTGTGTTTATTTACCAAAAAATAAACCCCCCAGCGGTGATTAAATACCGCAAAAGAAAGCTCTATCTCTGTGCAAAAAATGTTATACAGTATATTTCATATGGGTGCAGTGTTGCATGACGGCGCTATTGTCATTCAAAGTGCAACAGCTTGAAAGCTGAAAATTGGCCTGGGCAGGAGGGGGGGTGGTGACAGTGCCCGGTGGGCAGGGGGGGGGGGGTGACAGTGCCGGTGGGCAGGGAGGGGGTGACAGTGCCCGGTGGGCTGGAGGGAGGTGGTGACAGTGCCCGGTGGGCAGGAGAGGGGTGGTGACAGTGCCCGGTGGGCAGGGAGAGGGGGGTGACAGTGCCCGGTGGGCAGGTTGGGGGGGTGGTGACAGTGCCCGGTGGGCAGGAGGGGTGGTGACAGTGGGGGGGCAGGAGGGTGGTGACAGTGCCTGTGTGGTGGGGCAGGGGGGGGGTGGTGACAGTGCCCGGTGGGCAGGAGGGGGGGGTGACAGTGCCCGGTGGGCAGGAGGGGGGGTGACAGTGCCCGGTGGGCAGGAGGGGGGTGGTGACAGTGCCCGGTGGGCAGGAGGGGGGGGGTGACAGTGCCCGGTGGGCAGGAGGGGGGGTGGTGACAGTGCCCGGTGGGTTAGGGGCAGGAGTGGTGACAGATTGACAGTGCCCGGTGGGCAGGGGGGGGGGTGTGACAGTGGGCAGGAGGGGGGGTGACAGTGCCCGGTGGGCAGGAGGGGGGGGTGACAGTGCCCGGTGGGTAGGTGGGTTGACAGTGCAACGGTGGGCAGGAGGGGGGTGACAGTGCCCGGTGGGCAGGAGGGGGGTGGTGACAGTGCCGGTGGGCAGGAGGGGGGGTGTGACAGTGCCCGGTGGGCAGGAGGGGGGTGGTGACAGTGCAGGTGGGCAGGAGGGGGGGTGACAGTGCACGGTGGGCAGGAGGGGGGTGACAGTGCCCGGGGGGCAGGAGGAGGGGGTGACAGTGCCCGGTACTGAAGGGGTTAATGAATGGGGTGGAGGGCTCTAGAGGGATCAGAAGGTTTGGGGACGCTGATCTTCGTAGGGTGAGTCTCTGATTGGTTGTTCCAGAAGCGTGTGTCGGTGACCTCCTTCACCTGAGCGGACTGAACGCCGTCCCCATCAGTGCGGAGAAGAGAAGAGGAAGGACCAACATGGCCAACATCAGCCTCAACAAATGGGCCAGCCGACCATCCCTGCCCAGCATCCCGACCGTCAACCCAGAAACCGGCTGTGAGCGACTTCCGCCATTCTTCCGGTAAATCCCTCACTAAAGGGGAACTCCTATCTGCTGAGCTCTGTGTCGTCCTAGGCTCCGCCCCCCCAACGCTGACCATGTGCATTTGGGGCCACTAACACAGCCCTGTCAGATTAGCTTTGTCCACGGATTTTTTTTAAGGGGGTATGCGGTTATGGCACCTCTGGCACTGGATGTGTGGTGATGGCAAGGGGTGCAGGGGCATGCTGGAGGGTCTATTGATGCTGGCTGCTGGGGGATCTACTGTCGCTGGAAGGGATCTATTTTTCTGTGGAGGTCTATTGTTGCTGGGAAGGATCTACGGTTGAGGGAGGGTCTATTGATGGCTGCTGGGGGATCTACTGTTGCTGGAAGGGATCTATTTTTCTGTGGAGGTCTATTGTTGTTGATAGGGCATTTATTGCTGCTGGGAAAGATCTACTGTTGAGGGAGGGGTCTATTGTTGTTGGCTGGTCTATCAATGCTGGTTGCTGGGAGATCTGTTGCTGTGGAGTCTATTGTTGTGTAGGGTCTATTGTTTCTTGAGGGGGGTTATTGTTGCTGGGGTGAGGTCTATTGTTGCTGGGGGGATCTTTTGTTGCTGGGGTTGTGTCCATTGTTGTGTAGGGTTCAATGTTGCTGGGGGGTTTTTAATGTTGCTGGGAGATCTATTGTTGCTGGGAAGATCTACTGTTGAGGGAGAGGTCTATTCTTTCTGGCTGCTGGAGAGCCTATTGATGGTGGCTGGGAGATCTGTTGTTACTGCTAGGGTGGATCTTTTGTTTCTGGGGTAGTATTTTTGTTGTGGGGGGCCAGGGGCGGACTGACAACTCATGGGGCCCTCGGGCAATAGGGGATTCATGGGGCCCCTCTGTCCTTGTCCAAACTCAAAAAAGCCTATGAAAAAGGTACCAGGGGCATCTCATGGGGCCCCCTACTGACCCCGGGCCCTCGGGCAGTGCCCGAGCTTCCAAATGGTCAGTCCTCCCCTGGGGGGGTCCATTGTCGCTTGGAAGGGGGGTCTATTGTTGTGTGGAGGATCTAATGTTGCTGTGGGGTCTGTTGCTGCGGGGGGGGGGGGGGGTTCTGTTGCTGTGGGGGATCCATTGTCGCCAGGGTCCATTGTTGTGTAGGGTATATTGTTGCTGGGGGATCTATTGTTACTGGGGTGGGGTCCATTGTTGTGTAGGGTCTATTGTTGCTGGGGGATCTATTGTTACTGGGGTGGGGTCCATTGTTGTGTAAGGTCTATTGTTGCTGGGGGATCTATTGTTACTGGGGTGGGGTCCATTGTTGTGGAGGGTCTATTGTTGCTGGGGGATCTATTGTTGCAGGGGTGGGGTCCATTGTTGCGGAGGGGATCTATTTTTACTGTTTTTCTCGTTATTAACAAATTCCATACAAATTATTTAGCACCAGAAAATGATGCTTGGTATCTGTGTATTCTCCAAAAGGGGCGGAACCAAGGGATGGTGCTCGGAGGTGGGAAGGGGCGGAGACAAGGAGTGACTCATAAGGGGCACTGGAGCTTCCCGCCCCTGTTCCGTCCCTCCCCTCCCGCCTCTTCTGCCTCCAACCTTCCTTCTCC